GGCCATATTTTTGTATCAGCTCCTCCCTGATTGATATTATCCAATACACTGGATAGGTAGGATCCAACCTATCCAAGTGCAAATACAAAATGTGGTTTTGAAATGTGATATTGTATTGAGGGAATGGTGGGACAAGACTAGAAGGTTACACATAGTCCATGCAAATTAATATTGATAGCACTTCATCATCTTGACCCAGCATTCCATCAGTTATTGTTTCAGCTCTTGATTAATATAGCACAAACCATGGGATAGGTAGGATAACACCTCCTAGCCTTGACCCACCACCATCCTATCAATACAATATCACATTAAAGAAACCATATTATTGTGTCAGCTCTTGGATAGTTTGGATTCTTGGATACTTTGGTTTGGGTAACATCAACGAAGAACTGAAACAACAAGGCCATATTTTTGTTTCAGCTCCTGATTGATATTATCAAAAGCACTGGATAGGTAGGATCCAAGCAATCCAAGTGCAAATGTGGTCTCTAAATGTGATATTGTATTGAGGGGATGGTGGGACAAGACTAGAAGGTTACACATATTCCATGCGAATTGATATTGATAGCACTTCATCATCTTGAGCCACCATTCCATCAGTTATTGTTTCAGCTCTTGATTGATATTGCCCAAACCATGGGATAGGTAGGATCCAACCTATCCGAGAGCTGATACAATAATATGGTTTCTTTAAATGTGATATTGTGCTGAAAGGATGGTGGGTCAAAGTTGGGAGGTTACAAATATTCCAGTCAAATTGATATTGATATCACGTCAGCGTCACTCAATGTTTCAACCTAACATAACACCTCCTAGCCTTGACCCACCACCATCCTATCAATACAAACAATCACATTAAAGAAACCATATTATTGTATCAGCTCTTGGATACTTTGGATCCTACCAGTCTCATGGTTTGGGTAACATCAATGAAGAACTGCAACAACAAGGCCATATTTTTGTAGCAGCTCTTGATTGATATTATCCAAACCATGAGACTGGTAGGATCCAACCTATCCAAGTGCAAATACAAAAATGTGGTCTCTAAATGTAATATTGTATTGGTGACATGGTGGGACAAGGCTAGAAGGTTATACATAGTCCATGCAAATTGATATTGATAGTACTTCATCATCTTGAGCCACCATTCCAGCTCTTGGATCCTACCGATCTCATGGTTTGGGTAACATCAATGAAGAACTGAAACAACAAGGCCATATTTTTGTATCATTTCCTGATTGATATTATCCAATACACTGGATAGGTAGAATTCAACCTATCCAAGTGCAAATGTGGTCTCTAAATGTGATATTGTATGGAGGGGATGGTGGGACAAGACTAGAAGGTTACACATATTCCATGGGAATCGATATTGATAGCACCTCACCATCCTGAGCCACCATTCCATCAGTTATTGTTTCAGCTCTTGATTGATATTGCCCAAACCATGGGATAGGTAGGATCCAACCTATCCGAGAGCTGATACAATAATATGGTTTCTTTAAATATGATATTGTACTGACAGGATGGTGGGTCAAAGTTAGGAAGTTGCACACAAAGCTTTTTTTCTCAGAAAATATGTGCAGGCACTCCCCCCTTCTGAGTCATACTAGTCTCCGCCCCCTACCACCGCCGAATATGTCCCTTTGTTCCACCCCCTACCCACCTCCCAGTTTTTCCTTTTTAAAAAAAATATAGAACCAAGTATCATTTTGTGGCACTAAGTAATATGTATGGAATGGAAGTAAACTAGATCCCCTGCAGCCAAAAACGATAGACTCCCTACAACAAAATACCCCCCCCCCAGCAACAATAGATTCACTCTAGCAACAATAGACACCCCCCCACCACAAGCAACAATAAATCTCCCAGATGCCAAAATCAATAGCTCCCTTTAATCAGCCAGCAACAATAGACCCATCCTCCCTCAACAGTTGATGCTTTTCAACAACAACAACAACTGGGCAGCATAGTGGCTAAATGGCTAGCACTTCTGCCTGGCAGTACTAGGGTCATTGGTTCGAATCCCAACCATGGCACCACCTGCCTGGAGTTTACATGTTTTCCCTGTGCCTGTGTGGGTTTCTTCCAGGTACTCTGGTTTCCTCCCAGGGGTGTATTTACCACAAGGCACTTGCCTAGGGTGACATTTTTCAAGGGGGGGCATCATCTCCCCCCAGAAGAAGGGAAGAAAAAAGGGACATGCGCACCATGGGAACCAGGTGGGATCCAAGAGAGGCTGCGGGCTGCTTGATGGTGTATGTAGAGCCTGACTCTCGTTCCCGGGGATATCCAGAGTTGTGATGATGAGTGTCTCTCTATCGCTGAGGGGGGGGGGAGTAGTGGAAGGCTCTCCTGGGTGGGGGCAGGTGTGTTGTTGCTCAGTATCAGGCTTTTTCCACAGGAGGGGGAAGAGGGGATTGTGTTGGTCGGGTGTCTGTGGGGGAAGATGATTTTTTTTTTTTGCCTAGGGCAGCACAAAACCTAAATACACCACTGTTTCCTCCCACACTCCAAAGACATGCTGGCAGGTTAACTGGATCCCATCTAAATTGGCCCTAGTATTATGAATGTGAGTTAGGGACCTTAGATTGTACACCCCTTGAGGGTTAGGGACTGATGCAGGGGCGGACTGACAACTCATGGGGCCCCTGTGTCCTTGCCCAAACACAAAAAAGCCTATGAAAAAGGTACCAGGGGCTTCTCATGGGGCCCCCTACTGACCCCGGGCCCTCGGGCAGTGCCCGAGTTTCCAAATGGTCAGTCCATCCCTGGACTGATATCAATGTACAATATATATGTAAAGCACTATGCAAATTGACAGTGCTATATAAGTACCTGAAATAAATAAAATAAACAACTGACCCCCTCCCCACTAGCAACCACAGACTCTCCCAGCACGAATAGATTCCCCAACATCAATAGACCCTCCAGCACACCTCAACACCCCTTGCCATTACATTCAGTGGTGGAGGTGGAAATTCCTGCTGAAATAAAAGCCTTGGTTACACATATCCCAAGTCATACTGATATCACGTCACCCATGTTTCAGTCTAACGTAACAGATTGACTTGACCCATCATCCTATTGGCTATTGTTTCAGTTCTTGATTGATATTACCCAAACCACGAGATCGATAGGATCCAGACTGTCCAAGAGCTGATACAATAATATGGTTTCTTTAATGTGATATTGTATTGATAGGATGGTGGGTCGAGGCTAGGAGGTGTTATATTAGATTGAATTATTGAGTGAGGATGAAGTCATGTCGATATCAGTCAGTTTGGAACATGTGTGTCCTCCTAGCTCTATCCCATGTTTGGGTAATATCAATCAAGAACTGAAACAATAATTGATGGCATAGTGGATGATGTCTAGGAGGTGTTATGTTAGACTCAAATATTGAGTGAGGATACAGTAATGTCAACATGAATTATTTTGGAACCTCCTAGCCTTTACCCACCATCCCAAAGCAGTATCAAATTTAACCCCTTCCTGTCCGGACACTTTCCCCCCTTCCAGTCCGGACACTTTCCCCCCTTCCAGTCCGGACACTTTCCCCCCTTCCAGTCCTGACACTTTCACCCCCTTCCAGTCCGGACACTTTCCCCCTTCCAGTCCGGACACTTTCACCCCCTTCCAGTCCGGACACTTTCACACCCCTTCCAGTCCGGACACTTTCCCCCCCTTCCAGTCCGGACACTTTCACCCCCTTCCAGTCCGGACACTTTCCCCCCCTTCCTGTCCGGACACTTTCCCCCCCTTCCAGTCCGGACACTTTCCCCCCCCTTCCAGTCCGAACACTTTCCCCCCCCCTCCAGTCCGGACACTTTCCCCCCTTCCAGTCCGGACACTTTCCCCCCCTTCCAGTCCGGACACTTTCCCCCCCTTCCATTCCAGACACTTTCCCCCCTTCCAGTCCGGACACTTTCCCCCCCTTCCAGTCCGGACACTTTCCCCCCCTTCCAGTCCGGACACTTTCCCCCCCCTTCCAGTCCGGACACTTTCCCCCCTTCCAGTCCGGACACTTTCCCCCCTTCCAGTCCGGACACTTTACCCCCCTTCCAGTCCGGACGCTTTCCCCCCCCTTCCAGTCCGGACGCTTTCCCCCCCTTCCAGTCTGAACGCTTTCCCCCCCTTCCAGTCCGGGCGCGCTTTCCCCCCCTTCCAGTCCGGGCGCTTTCCCCCCCTTCCAGACCGGGCGCTTTCCCCCCCTTCCAGACCGGGCGCTTTTCACCCCCTTCCAGTCCGGGCGCTTTCACCCCCTTCCAGTCCGGGCGCTTTCACCCCCTTCCAGTCCGGACGCTTTCCCCCCCTTCCAGTCCAGACGCTTTCCCCCCCTTCCAGTCCGGACACTTTCACCCCTTCCTGTCCAGGCCAATTTTCAGCTTTCAGCGCTATCACACTTTGAATGACAATTGCGCAGTCATGCAACACTGTACCCATATGACATTTTTAGCATTTTTTTGAAACAGATAAAGCTTTATTTTGGTGGTATTTATTCACCACTGGGATATTTTTTTTTTTTTTTTTGCTATATAAATGAAAAAGTCCAAAAATTTTGAAAAAAAAAAAAGTGTTTTTCTTATAAAATTTTGCAAATAAATAATATTTCATCATAAATCTTGGCCAACATTTATTCAGTTATCTTTTTAGTAAAAAGAAATTAGTTTATAACCAAAAATTATAATTTGTTAAAAAAAATGTAACATTTTTATTTTATTTTTTTACAGTATATTATTATTTATGTGTTGTTGTTTTTTTTACATACTGTCACCCTAGCAGTACAGTGTCACCATGGTGACACTATACTACTTGTGCGGGGTGATGAAGATTCTTTTATTTTTTTTTTTACACTGATTGCTTTTACACCCATAAAGGCTGTAAAAAGCAATCATTTCTCCTTCTCTCTGGCTGCATTCTTGCAGCCATTGAGAAATACTGTGTGAGCTGTGATTGGTCACAGCTTGTCACATGGTACAAGGCTGTTGTGAATAGCCTTGTACCTTGTGACCTCTGTGATCATTCTCAGATTTCACACGTAGTAAGCAATGATGTCAGAAGTGACATCTTGTTTACTACTCTGCATGTGATCACTGATTGGCCAATCAGTGATCACATGATCGGGACCTCGCACAGAGATCTCGTATGACAATTGGTGTTCCACTGTGTCCGGAGGACACTGCGGGCCCCGGATCGCGGTGCTGCGCGCTCCCAGGGAGCGCGCACAAGCAGGGGATGGGGAGGACGTTTATAAAATATTGTAGGAGCTGGGGCAGACTGACAACTCATGGGGCCCCCAGGCAATAGGGGATCATGGGGCCCCTGTGTCCTTGCCCAAACTCAAAAAAGCCTATGAAAAAGGTACCAGCGGCATCTCATGGGGCCCCCTACTGACGCCAGGCCATCGGGCAGTGCCCGAGTTTCCAAATGGTCACTCCGCCCCTGATAGTAAGCAATGATGTCAGAAGTGACATCTTGCTTACTACTCTGCATGTGATCACTGATTGTTCAATCAGTGATCACATGATCGGGACCTCGCACAGAGGTCCCGTATGACGATCGATGTTCCACTGTGTCCCAGGAAGCACGCACAAGCAGGGGGCAGGGAGGCCATTTATAAACAGCCACCTGCCCCTGTACTGCCACCGTCCGGCCATTTATATACATCAGCCGGAAGGGAAGTGGTTAAAGAGACCAAATTATTGTATCAGCTTTTGGTTGATATCAGCTTACCCATGAGATAGTTAGGATCCAACTATCTACCCAACTACCCAAGAGCAGATACAGTGCTGTGGTCTCTTTAATTGTGTTGAAAAGTTGATGGGTCAAGAAGTACTAGGTTGAAACATTTATTGTTGATGAAGTAATATCAGCATCAATTTCATGTCACTTTTAATTTTTGTAATTAAAATTCCTTGAGAAAAAATACATTTAACAGATATGTTGCTGTCAGGGATCCCGAGCCGGATCGCGGCACGCGGGTCTGCGCATGCGCGATGTGCCGAGGCGCACTGGCGTGCAGGTGATAGGACTTGGACATCCGCGACGGCATGCGCACTTGCGATCGCGCGCCTGGCACAATAGGAGCGCAGGGCGCCACTATTTAAATGGACAGTGCTTAGTTGCCGTATGGTCTTCCCTGTGTTCTGTGAGTTACTTTGCTGCCGACCCTGTCTGATCCTGATCTGCTGACTTCTCCTGCTCTGACCCCTGGCTTGCCTGACCATTCTCCTGCCTACACCTGCACCTTTGATCCCCTGTTGCCAAACCCGGACTGTGACCCATTTATTCTTCTGCCTACCGTTTGTACCGACCTGCTTCGCTGTTACCGACCCGGCCTGTCTGACCTTGCTTACTCCGCCTCCTCACATCAGACTCTCACCCGCTGCGTACCACCGAAAGGTGCCTCTACCACGGCTGGCTGCACCCAGGGGGTCGCGACCTGGTCTCGGCTTGCTCCAAGTCCATCCCCACCATCAGGGTCTCTGGTGAACAAGCAGGTCAGAACATAGATTCCGCGCCCTGGGGAATCCTGGTCTGTGGAACGCTAGAGGCTACCACCGGTTGGTCCCTAACAGTTGCGTTCGGCTTTTAGTACCGTGAAAGGCCCATTTTCTTCAAATTGATCCATGAACAAGACCTTTTAGTGGTCGGATCTTCTCACTGTCTCCAGTCAATGGCTAGTTTTGGTTCACAGTTCGCCATGTTGAAGCAGGGCCAGTTCCTGTATTTTCAGACCTGCAGCAAGCCACCCCTGCTCCACCACCGAAACATGATCTCATCTCTTTCTGCTACCAAGTGTGGTTTGTTGGCCTACATTCATTTTGAAATGTCAACATGAAGAGCAAATGCCTTGATCGTTGGTGACCTGAGCCATTCATTTCCGCACACCATTTCCTGGTGTTTGGTTGTCCTAAGGAAGTACTTTTGAGCGTTCCCTTTTCTGGCCTATATGGACTAAACATCAACCACACTTTCCATTTTCATGGTATTACGTAGAGAGCACCTTGGTGCCTTGATGGCCCGGAGTCTGGGGATGTGACCTATGGTCTGATCTTGCTCCTGTTTATCAGATAATGATGGGGGATGTAGCTACTGTTCCTTTATTATCTCACATCCTGCTCTCTCATCCCAGTCTCAGGCCTTCCTGTCTGGGAGCCAGGGTGGAGACAAATGGATGTCTCCACCCAGGGTGTGATAAATGGGTTGTGAATGACAGCAAGGGCAGGTCTTCTTGTTCACTTGCCTTCCAAAAACCAGCACAATCCGGCAAAGTGAACCTGTCTCCGACCACGCAAAACACATCCAGAGATCCACATTCTAGAGGCCTCCAAATCCCAGAGATAATCTCAGGTTCCAGAAAAGTTAATACTCAATAGACGGGAGACAAGAGCGCAACACCAAGCCCCATAAACACAATTACTTTAGTACAACAGATGTTCAAAAGGATTCACATGTAAAGATAATTAATAAAGTGGATGTAAAACCTTACTGATTAAAAAGTAGTTTGCTATCATAAACCATTGCCTTTTTTAAAATACTCAGTTTTAACTTTTTGATTTCATCATTTGTTCCATCTCACTGCCTCTTTGCAACCATGTCTTTTCTACATGTACTGCAATGTTGGCTGCATGGCATTTCTTCAGGAGGGGTTCCTGATGGTGACAACAGTGGACCATGCTTATGCACTCACCGGCCACTTTATTAGGTACTAGTACCAACAAAATGTCCCCGACACCATGATACCCACCACCACCATCAGCCTGAACCATTGATACAAGGCAGGATGGATCCACCACACCATGACACCACCACCACCAGCCTGAACCGATGATACAAGGCAGGATGGTTCCACCACACCATGACACCACCACCACCAGCCTGAACCATTGATACAAGGCAGGATGGATCCCCCACACCATGACACCACCACCACCAGCCTGAACCATTGATACAAGGCAGGATGGATCCACCACACCATGACACCACCACCACCAGCCTGAACCGATGATACAAGGCAGGTGGTTCCACCACACCATGACACCACCACCACCAGCCTGAACCATTGATACAAGGCAGGATGGATCCCCCACACCATGACACCACCACCACCAGCCTGAACCATTGATACAAGGCAGGATGGATCCCCCACACCATGACACCACCACCACCAGCCTGAACCATTGATACAAGGCAGGATGGATCCCCCCACACCATGACACCACCACTACCAGCCTGAACCATTGATACAAGGCAGGATGGATCCACCACACCATGACACCACCACCACCAGGCTGAACCATTGATACAAGGCAGGATGGATCCACCACACCATGACCCCCCATCACCAGCCTGAACCATTGACACAAGGCAGGATGGATCCACCACACTTTGACACCACCAGCCTGAACCATTGACACAAGGCAGGATGGATCCACCACACCATCACCACCATCACCAGCCTGAACCATTGATACAAGGCAGGATGGATCCACCACACCATGACACCACCACCACCAGCCTGAACCATTGATACAAGGCAGGATGGATCCACCACACCATGACACCACCACCACCAGCCTGAACCATTGATACAAGGCAGGATGGATCCATGCTTTCATGCTGTTTACACTAAATTCTAACCCTACCATCTGAATGTCGCAGCAACCAGTCTGCCCATTCTCCTCTGACCTCTGACATCAACAAGGCATCTTCCTCCACACAACTGCCGCTTACCAGATATTTTCTCTTTTTCGGAGCATTCTCTGTAAACCGTAGAGATGGTTGTGTGTGAAAATCCCAGTAGATCATCAGTTTTTTTATATACTCAGACCAGCCCATCTGGGACCAACAACCATGCCACGTTCAAAGTCATTTAAATCCCCTTTCTTCCCCATTCTGATGCTCGGTTTGAACTTCAGCAAGTTGTCTTCACCGTGTCTAGATGCCTAAATGCATTGAGTTTCTGCCATGTAATTGGCTGATTAGCAATTTGAGTTACCAAGCCATTGAACGGTTGTACCTAATAAAGTGGCTGGATGAGTGTATAATGTGTGTTGGAAAGGCAAATCGGAAGTCAAGGTGACAACGCAGGAGCACAGTTGGGAGGCAGACACAGAGCGTTGTCACACTATAGAAGGAAGTACCCGAGTACAGGGTGACAATTGGGAAAGCAATTAGGAGACAGTGGCAGACTATGGTCACCCTATACCAGGAAACAGCTGAACAAAAACCTTCATGGTGGGATCTCCATGGATTCCTCTAATAAAAGAAGCTGTTTAAAAAGATTTCCTGAAGACATTAACACTTCTATGATATTTTCTTGATTGAGTTACATCTACATTAATATCACACAATAAAGTCTTAAATGTAATGAAGTCTTTGTACAATTAACCCTTTCACTGGTTTCATTGCCACTGTCGTATGTCATAGGGCATGGCAGTGGGGGATCATTTACACACATTCCTGGCTGCTTTAGTATGTGTACTCTCTACAAGCCAACTGTTGCCAATTGGGAGGCTTTACTGCTGCACAAATGCTTTTCTGTGACCCCCAGAATTGTGCCTTCCCCCCCCCACCCCATGCTTCAAGGCTCCACTTACCCACCTATGGGCCTGGAACCCTCATGGCAAATGTTGCTGGAGGGAAGGGAAACTAATAAACATCCACTCATTGATCTCTATTCACTGAAAAGGAGGGAATAAAAACCAGCACATCCTTAGTAAATACACGAAGCACAGTTAGGCACACAATTAACCCTTTGATTGCCCCTAGATGTTAACCCCTTCCCATCCACTGTTATTAGTACAGTTCAGTGTATATTATTAGCACTGATCACTGTGTTAGTGTCACTGGTTCCCACAGTGTCAGTTGGTGTCATATTGCCCGCCGCACTGTCACAGTCCCGCTATAAGTCACTGCCATTACTAGTATAAAAAAAAGATTCCAGTATATATACCATAGTTTGGTGGAGCTGTAACTTTCACATAAACCAATCAATATACACTTATTGGGATTTTTTTTACCCAAAAATATGTAGCAGAATACAGTTTAGCCATAGTTAATGAACACATTTGATTTTTTTTTTTTTAATTTTGGGAGAAAGTAAAAAAATATAGTTCCCCCCCCCAAAAAAATTGTGGGGTTTTCTTGTTCATATAATAATAATAATAATAATAATAATAATAAAAAAAAAAAAAAAATTAATAATAATAATAAAAAAAAAACAAATAATGATCAAATACCACCAAAAGAATGCTCTATTTGTGTGAAAATTTTATATAAATTTAATTTGGGTACAGTATTGCATGACCGCGCAATTACCAGTTAAAGTAGCGGAGTGCTGAATAGCAAAAAAACAGCCTGGTCATGAAGGGGATAAAATTCCCCCCCCCCCAAAAAAAAAATTGTGGGATTTTTTTGTTTATATAATAATAATAAAAAAAACAAAGTAATGATCAAATACCACCAAAAGAATGCTCTATTTGTGTGAAAGTTATATAAATTTAATTTGGGTACAGTGTTGCATGACTCCGCGCAATTACTGGTTAAAGTAGCATAGTGCTGAATAGCAAAAAAACCCAGCTTGGTCATGAAGGGGGTAAAAATCCCCCCCCAAAAAAAGTTGTGGGTTTTTTTTTTGTTTATATAATAATAATAATAATAGAAAAACAAAGTAATGATCAAATATCACCAAAAGAATGCTCTATTTGTGTGAAAAAATTATATA